GTTGAGGCCAGCTGGCAAGTTTCCCGGAGTTTGACAGAGATCATCACCCCTTTGAGAGGGGCACACATCTCTACCATTGCCCTGGGATGCGGGAGCAGTGGTGGCAGTTTCAGATGCTTCCACTTGGCCTTTCATACTCTTAATAGCTCTTACCAGGAACCAGTGTAAGGGTTCTTTATTTTTTTATTTGTTTGTTTTTAATTTTTTATTTATTAATTTGTTTTTGTTACAGATGTTTCTCATTTTCCCCCCATTGACACCCTCCTCCCCTTCCCCTCGCCCCATCCCCAGCTTTGTTATCTATGTTCATTGGTCATGCATACTTGCATGTAAGTTCTGTGGTTTATCTCTTCCCCCACAAACCCCACTCCTCTGAGGCTTGTCAGTCTGTACCCGACCTCCATGTCTCTGGGTTAATTTTGTTCAGCAGTTTGTTTAGTTCATTATATTCCACAAATAAGTGAGATCATGTGATATTTGTCTTTCTCTGTTTTGCTTGTTTTGCTTAGCATAATACTCTCTGGGTCCTTCCATGCTATCTCAAAGGATAAGAGATCTTTCTTTCTTACAGCTACACAGTATTCCATTTGTGTACGTGAGGGTTCTTTCAAACACCATTTTATCTGTACTTTCAAGGACGAGATATGGATAGGTCTGCTAGCTGAAGGACCCACCACTAACTGGACCTGGTTCCCACATTCTCCTGCTCTAAAAGGGGCCATGTTGATACTTTGGGTCCCGGATACAATGTCAGTTCAGACCTCAATGCATGGTTACTGTGAGTCAATGTTCATAGGTTCCTTAGAGGAAGGATGGGGTATTCACCACTGAATGACAACTGCTGTGTTTTCTAGGGCTCCTCATCACAGGAAGCTGGCTTCTCTTCCATTACTACCTTCTGGGATTGAGAACCAGCTCAGGCCCTGGCTGAGAAACAGGTCATGACTTTTTATTGGGGTGACTGCCCTCAGCCTCCTGATCTTTCTTGATTTACTGAATTATGTAAATTAGCAATCAGTTGAGGGCCCCTCTGTCTTATTGACCATCATCAGAGCTCTCTGCAGATTAGTCCTCCTGCCCATCCCCATCACTTCTCCCCTATTCTGACTCTGCAGCTCATGGCGATAACTGTGCCTGCCTTGTTTCCGATGGTTAACTTGTGCCACTGGCCTTCTCTCATCCCCATTGCTCTCAGCCCTGTTCCATAACAGCAGTTCTTACCCTCAGCCCTAGTCTATGGAGGACAGCTGACCACTGGTCTCAGCAAGCCTGGAATCCCCTCACTAGTGCATTCATGATCACATTGGCAACAGAGTGGCCTCCAGGCCCTCTTACGGAAGTACACTGGTGAGTTTCCAGCCTTATTCTAACAGGCCCACATTTAGGGGCCAGGCAGAGAAAGGAGGGGCCAGAGAGGTGGATGGAAACTAGGAAAGTATGGTTGTCATTGAGCCTAGAGAAACAAGCATCACAGGAGGGCTTGGGGAGGAAGGGCGCAGATCATGACTTTTGGATTTAGCAGGAAGGAGATATTTTAGTGCAGGGGTGGAAAATGAAAGCCCAATTGCAATAGGTAGAGGAGAAAAATAAAAGGTGAGCTAGTGAAGTTGCTGTGTCTGAGAGCAAAGAAACGAAGCTATTGCTGAAAGGGAATAGAGGCCACAGGACAATTTTGCTTTTTAAGACAGGCAATATTATAGTTTATTTGCATGTTGATGAAAGCAATGAATTGGAGAAGTAGAAATTTATTAGGAAGTAGAGAAGAGAGGACTATTTTCTGACTCACACATTGAGCAAGAAATGGGATCCAAACCACAAATGATAGATGGCCTGTGACAGGTCTATAAACATTTTTTTATTGTAACAGCGAGAAGGGCAGACCACAGGTGGAGGTAAGTGGTAGAGTTTATGGGGAATGAGCAGATGCCTGTAATTTTATCTGTTCTTTTCAATAAAAGATGAGCTGGGAGAGCTGGTGGGGGAGGTCTAAGAATTATGAAGAAAGAGGACCAGGTGGGAATAGTGCTCTGGGAGGCGGGAAGGAAGGTAGGCCCTCCTTCCTATAAGCAGTTGGGTTGGAGAGCCAGGACTCCTTTCAAAGCCTTCCTTATTTTTCCCACCATGCCCCTTTTTCATAAGGGTGACAAAAAAAAATTTTTTTTTAAGGGATATAGTATAGTACACCAAACCTAGTTATTTCCTTTTTAGCCCTTGCCAGGTGAAAGAACGCTAAGTCTTTGTTTGCATATAATAAACATGACTTTTTTTGTACTTGACATTTTTTCATTTCCTATCAGGTCTACAAGTGAAATTAGGTTGCAAATTTGTGGAGGAAAAAATGACACTTGTTACAACACAACAAATTCAACAAATATTTTCTGAGTTAACACGGGGTGTCAGGTGACTCAAAGATACAAAGATTCCTGGCCTCAAGAGGTTGACCAGAGACAGGCAGGGGACATAATAAAGTATATATTGTGTTAGAAGATAACAAATGCTATGAGAAAAGGAGAATAGAAAGAAGTGAATGGAGAAAGAGAGAACTCGAGTGCAGGGGGAAAGGGCAAGGAGGGCTCACGTGTAAAATTGGGAGGTGAGGGCAAGTCTCACTGACCAGTGACAGTTGAGCAAAGATTTAAAGGACATGAAGAAGTTCCTTAACTGCACAGTTACCTGGGGAATAAATCATAACTGGTGCTATTAAGCACATTTGCTGAGTATGATGAGGGAAATCTTAAGTAATCAAAGGAAAAGAAGTCTCTGCTTTTACAAATTCTAAATGAGTAAAGTAACAAAAGTGGAGAATCAGCTGTGGATCTGAGCTGTATGCATGAGGCTAACCCAGATGTGGCATATTCCTAGAAAACTGATCTGCAAGGTGATAGGTGCAGAGGTGACAGAGAGAGGACATGGGGATATTTGGGAGGACCTAAATAAACTAGTAGGTGGAATTCTTAAGTCCATAAATCAAAGATTGGAACCAACTAAAGGGGACAGCTATGGGGTGGGCATCAAGGAAAAGCTGCTTATTACAGGGAGAACATAGATCACAAAAATGCAGAATTTGTGAGCACTTAGGTCAAGGTAAAGATTTTATTTCCCTGCTTTTTATGCCAAATGGACAATTACCCAGGTCTCTGTTGTCCGTGTGTATGTTTCTTTTCCCTAGATTCATCACATCAGCCACAGCCAGAGCAGGCACACTTTTATTTGTCCCTGCTGTGCCTTTAGTAGCTAGCTGTCTAAAATTCAAGTCCCCAGTAAAATCCATTAGTAATCATTTAATAACACAATTGGAGTGAAAGTCCCAGTTTATGGCTACACTGGATTATCCTCACAGGTTTAGGCTATGTCTAAACATCTCAGAAGAAATGGAGAGAACTAGTAGGGATCTCTATAACATAAAGAATGAGAATCTCCAGAAGAAATCCGTCGTCTGAAAAAAAAAGTCTTTGAGAGACCCTTGGTCCAGTGACAAAGAGAAGTGATGCTGAGTACAGCAGAATGTCTGCATCGTTTTTTACAGCCCACACTGGTTTCTTTCTGGTGCCCAGGAGAGAGCACAGCCAGTTAAATAGAAGGATGTATTTGTCAAAAAACCTGTCAGGTTCAGGAACTCAGAGCAGGTGAAACAGAAAGTGCCCCAAAGTTGGGAAGGAAGAGTATTCCTATGCCGGTAGAGTATATATACTCAGCAAGATTCAGCCACATCAAAGTGAGGTCAGCAGTCCTGGTGGTCTTGGCATAGTGGTAGCGTTGGTAGCAGTGCATAGGAGTGAAGGCAGCAGCAAAGTGAGAAGTTGCCTTCTTAGGGAGTCGTTCCACTTCTGTTGGGTGCCTTAGTGGCAAGCAGCACTGGTGGCCTGGCAGAGAGGAGAGGAGCCGAGTTGGCTTATACCAGTCCTGTTAGGTTGTAACTTTAGCAGACAAAAATAGTGGTGGCAACAGCCAGAAGCTGCCTTTACAGGGGCCCCAGGGCAACAAGGCCTTGAGCACAGCCAAGGCAGGAGTAGCACAGAAGGTGTTCTAGGCCAGTGCAGCATGGAGGCTGGAATCAGATTGTTAGGTTGGACTCTTGCTGTCTGCCACTGACTAGCCTTTAAGCTTTGGGTAAATTACTAACCCTTCTGTGTCTCGATTTTCTTCTCAGTAAATACTATCCAGCTCATAGGGATTTCTAGAGGTTAAATTAGATTATACACGAAAGCACAGCTCTAAGGGGCAGTAATTGCCAGTAGTAAGCACACAATAAGGGTTAGCCAATTTGTTTCATGATATATATGACGTATCACACTGATCTAGTCCAACAATACCTGGTATTCAGATTGGTTAATTGCATGAACTACCACATCATTGGCAGCAACCCAAAGTGCAAACCAGGTGAGAAGGAAAGGTAAGGGTATTGTGCAGCCTTTGCTGCCTCATCATACATTTGCCAAATGCTATATGGCAGGCACTGTTCTAGGTGATTTATAACTCTGGAATGTCTCCTAAGAATTTAGAAACTTGTCACTATGGGTGAGGATGTAGGCAAATATGGAAAAAGATTTACCACTGTGTATTTTTTGTTTTTTTTGGGGGGGTGGGGGGGTTACTTAAACCATTCCAAACATAATTTTGCTTTTCAACAAGACATGCAGACCGCTCATGCTCCTTATATTCCTGTCATTTAAAATCATATACGGTGCAAAGACTTTATTGAGCAAGCCCCAGGCCAACGTCATTAAAATAAGTAACCACTAACGATGCTAATTAATTGGGGTGGGACCCGCATGACGCGACAGGAGACCAACCGCAGGTCGCCAGCCCGCACTACGACGAGAGGCAAGCTCTCGCGGGAATCTCAGAGGCCCGAACAACCGGCCACGTGACGCCCCGGCCTCCCGGACACCCGATCGAGAGGAGCCTAGTGGCAGCCACGTTGACGGCGCTCCTCGGCCACGGAAGGGGGCGTGGCGAAGGCCCGTGCGTGGTACGTGCCCCGCCCCTCCCCGCCCGGAGCCCGGATGAGGAGTAACGCCATTATTGCCAGAGCCGCCGAGAGCTCTCGCGGACGGCGACTGGACACAGGACGGCCGCGCCATGAGACTCCTCCCCCACCTGCTTCTGCTCCTCTTGCTCGCGTTCCCCGCCACCCTCTTGCTCCGAGGCGGCCATGGAGGTAAGGCGAGGGGAGTGGGTGGTGGGGCTCGGCGGGGAAGGTAACGCCAGTGACGGCAAGTTTAGAGCTGGAGGCGGCCGCGGCGGCGGTTTCTGGGTCCCGCGTCCACCTCGCCGGCCTCCCCCCACCTCCTCCTTGACCCCGGCTCGTGGTAGGGGGCCGCCGGGCGTGTGGGGCGAGACCCCGTGGGGCCATGCGGAGCGGCCGCGCTGGGGGGCAGCCCGGAGGCTTGGGCTTGCCCGGGTCCGCGGCTGGAGGAGGACAGGGGCAGGGGGCACGGGGAGCCCCGGCGCCCTGCGGCCGCGATCCTTCTCCCGCCGCTCCGGCGCCGCTCCACCCAGCCCCTCGCCTTGGCTGACGTGTCCTTCGCTTCCACGCTGGAAGTGCGCCTTCATTCATTTGCCGAAACCTGTGTTCTCAACACCTAAACTCTGAGCACCTTTTGATTTTCTGGTCATCTTCCTGTTGATCAGCCCCTGGTTCCTGTGTGTTGCCAGGAGTCCTGATTTCACAAGAGCGCCCCATTTTCACCGCCCCCCTCCCTTGCCCATCCCTATACTCCCAGGCCGACTGAAGAATCTCTGGGATGTCTATTCCTCTTGCCCTTTTTGTAACCATTTTTTGTTTCTTGGAAAGGTGTCCTGAAAAAATAGTCTAACTCGAGTTTTACATTTTTTATTTAGGTTTGTTTATTCCTTCCAACAGTTAACCTGGTGTGAAAATAACTTAGCAGAACATTAAAAAACGTGGAGACTTGGCTTCTTGCCCTGGTTCTATCATGAACTTAAATTTTTCTGACCGGTAAAATGTAGTCTGACTAAATGATGGCTAGAATTCCTTTGGTTCAGTAAGTTGAAGCAAGCCATGTGGCATAATGAGTGAAAGTGGCAGGTATCCACAGGTTGTTTTGCAAAGAGAAGTGAAGTGACTGGCTTCTATTTGGTGGATAGAAAACCAAGTGTGAAAATTAGCCATAACTGTTAATGAATTCATTTGCAGGTTGAAGGATTCTTTTCCTTTACCAGTTGCTTGCTGGTTTGTTCTCACTTGTATTTTTAAACAAAATTTGCCAATTCTACGCGTATAGAATTCAGACTATAGTTTTCAGATTTTAAACTTTTTAAAGAAACGTCAGTATCTAAACTGAACTGGGTATCTTGGAACATTTTTTGTGAGAAATGGTCTTTCCTTTAAAAGATTGTTTCCTCTTAAATTGTTACTGGTTAACATTAAAATAGTTTACTATCCACTGAAAACGTAGGGTGAAAAGCCTTTGTGTCTCAATCCTGAAATTTAAGTACAGCTTGAAATTATTATGTCAGACCTAGATATTTTTCTTACTGCTTTTTAAAATTTCTTCAGGTTTTTTTTCTTTCTTTCTTTCTTTTTGGTCTTTTTCTTACTGTTTTTTTTTTTTTTTTTTAAATGACTTGTTGAGGAAGAAGTAGAACTGAAAGACTTAAAATACATGGTCCTTAATGTACACTGTTTCTCTTGGGTATTACAGCGTATGCACATGCTTCCATTCCCACATTTTTTTCCCTCTACTGAATTGCCACATCATCATTCTTTCTAAGAAACATTGGAAGAGTCTCTAGAACTTTGAAACTCGTTTGAGGGTCTTGACTGAAATAAATTTAATGTGACTTACTTAGAGTACTTTTGTATATAAAACTATGATTTATAGTTTCTTGGCATTATAGTTTAAGTGTAGGGGAAATAAAAAAGTGTCTTAAAATGTTTGAAGCCATATGCAAAAATAAATGTATGTTTCTCTGCTATCAACCCTGAAGTTAACAGTATAGGTTTTTTATTACACAATGTGTTTTATGCCAGCTAGTTTTTACATGGATGTCATGCAAATATTTGTTCCTTAGAATAACATATTATCAAGTTCTAAGAGTTTGAGCTGTAGTCAACTCTAATAACAATGTTTCCTGCCTAGATACTGAGATTGCTGTTTTCCTTTAGACATGAGTACTTTTTTATTATTTTATTTTGTATGGTTAATGACAGATTAAATTTTGGACTTCCTTTTGAAATGCTTTTTTCTTTCATCTGCTTAACAAAATTGCTTGAAGTTCTTTATTTAAACTTCAAGGCATCTTTAATTTCAAGGAATTATTTTTTCAACTGTTAGGTCCTTTTTAAAATTAAACAGCATTTCCCATTAAAATTAACATGCAGTTTTTAAGACTACAAAGATAAAATTATATGAATATTCTTATGTGCACTGTAATTTGACATCATTCGAGTGCACTACGTGATTGAATTCGTCCATGGACACATTTTTGTTCGCCAATCTTGTGATGAAAAAACTGGTAGTGTTCCAGGGTAGTTAACTGCTTGTTTTATATTTTATTGTTAGGCTCAGTAGCAGCAGCTCAAGATCTTACAGAAGATGAAGAAACAGTGGAAGATTCAATAATTGAAGATGAGGATGATGAAGCAGAGGTGGAAGAAGATGAACCCACAGATTTGGTATGATTTAATGCATATAGATAATATATCTAGAATTTATCCTTTTTATACATAAATTTGGTTTTAAAATTCTTGATTTTAGAGGCTTGTTCTGTGATCACTGTGGATTGAAGTTGGGAGAATAGGGATCACTCATTGGGGATGGATCATTAATATTTTCTGGAACAGGGAGGGAGATCATATGCACATGACTCTGAGGGTAACACTGAGTGGAAATAGCACTGGACCATTTGTTGATAGATTTGGGATGCATACTACTTAGTTTCTGACCTTGAGTAACTTGTTTCTATGGGTCTCAGTTTCCTCTTTTTTCTTCAGTAGGCAAGTATTTATGTGCCCTGCTTTGTGCCAGACACTGTTTTGGATGCTGAACAAAACATATTTTCTCTGTTGTCATAGAGTTCATGTTCTAGGAGCAGTGTCCAGGGGAGTGAGAAGCAGGCAATAAATAATAAGTACAATATATTCTGTGAAGAGTAAAGGGCTCAGAGAAGATCTCTTAGAAGTCATCTACCTCTGACACTTTTATTATATAATTATAGTTTGACAGTAAGAATATTGGGCTAGAATAAGAATTATTGTAACTTGCTTCTAGCTAATTTCATTTCCTCCCTTGGACTACTGTAATCTTTGCCACACAGATTTTTTTTTTTACATTTATCTTCAAACAGAGTGGGAGGGGGAGAGAAAGAGAGAGAAAAATATCTAAGTGAGAGAGACACATCGATTGGTTGCCACCCGGGGTCTAAATGCAACTGAGGTACGTGCATTTGGCTGGAATTGAACCTGGGACCTTGGTCTGCAGGCCACTGCTCTAATCGCTGAGCCAAACCAGCCAGGGCCAGATTTTTTTTTCCTTTCTCTTTTTATTATGCCACATTTGAACCTAGAAACTTAAGATTCTAAATTTTGTCCCTTTTTTTTTTCGAGATTAAGCCAAGTCCTTATTTTTCTATTTTGTCATCAAAATAATTAGCACCATATAAAGATACTGCTCCCTTTTTTTTTCTCTAATCCTCTCTTTTTGGAGTATGCTTTCCGACTAGGCTAATTTGTTTGCTATTTTGTTGATGTTTAAATGACCATTTTTATGCATTTGTACATACTTTTTCGCTTGAATAGAATATCCCTACTAATTTTTGTGCTTTTCTAATTCTCCCTCCTTTAAGAAACCTTTACTGATTACTGTGTGTCGGGCTTTTTACATGTGTGTATACCCATATTTTTAGGATTTATATTAAGGCTCTTCATCTTCAATCCAGTTCATTTGATGCTCTACTTTAACTAGATCAATACATTCCTCCATCAATGATGGTAACAAAAATTTTAGTATTCTAAAAGTGCTACTTGTGGTAAGATAACTTGGAAGTAAACATCGGAAGGGAATCTATCCAGAAATGAGAGTTAGAGATGGTATTTAGGGCTCTGAAATTTGGGCATGCACAAAAATTTAGTGATAGATTTTATATATATATATATATATATATATATATATATATATATATTTGTTGTTGTTGTTCAGATAGGGCGGGAAGGGGAGAGAGAGAGAGAGAGAAACATCGATGTGAAAGGGACACATCGAGTGGCTGCCACCCACACGACCCAACCAGGGCCAGGGACAAACTGCAACCGAGGTACATGCCCTTAGCAGGAACCGAACCCCGGTCTCTCTGGACCGCAGGCCAATGCTCTAACCGCTGAACCAAACTGGCCAGGGCTAGATTATATTTTTATAACCACTTTTCTGAAACTACTTTGGATCTCTAGCACTGTAATGTATTTATTGTGGAGGAAAAGAGTAGAGACAGAAACTGTTGGATCTTTGTTGCAGTAACAGTTTAGCCAGAACTTTTCTGTGCCTTGATCACCTCACTTGCCTTGAGAACTGTTAGAGTTGAAAGAATGACTCAAAATATCTACTCTTTACCCTGGTCAATTAGTTCAGAAGTGTTAGTACCCCTTTTTAGGTAGCTTTTCGCAAGTCAGAAAATGGTTAGGGCAAATTGAAGCAGGTAGACAGGGAAAGTATTTCCTTTCTTTAGACTAGCCGGTACCAGCAGTATAGGCTTGTGTGGAACCTGGAAGGCTAAAAAAGATAGGTTCTTAGAGCAAGAATTGCTACAGATGTTACCTTCAGAACTGAGGGCCCTAGAATTTCTCCTGCTATTTCCTAAGATTTAGATTATCAATTTATACACAGCTGTTTTAGGCATCAAGGAATTGGGGGATATGGAAGGATCCTTTGCCCCTGGGGACTGTGTCTGGAGTCAAGGGACAGAAAGGAGATTTTCCTAAGATCTTAGCTACCAACAGCCAGTTTAGATGCAAGTTATTGGTTTAAAATTTTTCAGTGCAAAATTTTTTTAAAGTCACCTTGGGCTTTTCCATCCCCCTTGATTATGCTTTATTCTGTAAAGCTGTGAGTTGCAATGTAGTTCGTCATCATTTTTTGAAAGTTTTTTTAATAGAACTGATAGCAATTTTTGTTTCGATTTTTATTGAAATAAGTACTATAGTAGTGACACTAACATAAAATATTAGTATTACTTAAAATAGATAATACATTCGTGTGGATTAGAATTTAAAAGGTGCAAGTTATATAGTGAAAAGTTTCTCTTGCATGCCTGTCCTCCCGGTGCTGAGGTCATCTCCACAGTACTACCAGTTTCTTGACTCTCCTAGAGATGGTCTGTAGTAGCTGAAATATTCTAGAGTATAACCAGGTAGCAGGTACTAAACAATATACATCTTATGATTTGCCATTAGCTATAAGATAAATGTGTTGTTTACCTTTACTTCCATATCATTTCCAGATCTTCACAACTAGCATTCCAAACATTTACCACTTTCAAATTGCAAAATCAATCCTCTTCCATCTTAGCAACAACATCGCCTTCGGTGTCAGAAAGTGAAGGCTATTAAGTATGAAGTCTATTAAATTTTCTACCTTCTACTTCTAAGTATATTATTCACCCATCCTTTCTACATTTTCTTTACCAGCATGCTTCTTGAAATGGTGAACTGTACAGTTTTTCTCTTCTGCTCATTTCACATTTGTTCTCTAAGTTGTTTGGTCCCCTGTATCTGGTAAAAATGTTCTTGCTGCGTTGGCCAGTTTGGCTCAGTGGTTTGAGCGTTGGCCTGTGGACCAGAGGGTTGCAGGTTCGATTCCCGGTTGAGGGCACATACTTGGGTTGCAGGTTTGATACCTGGCCCCGCTGGGGGTCATGCGGGAGGCAGCCAATAGATGTGTCTCTCTCACATCAATGTTTCTCTCTGTCTCCTTTCCACTCTATCTAAAAAGCAATGGGAAAATGTCCTCAGGTGAGGATTAAAAAAAAAATTGTTCTTGCTAAGTTGCCATTGTTCTTCTATTGTAACTCTTTTTAGTGTTTGCTGGTTACCCCTTTCTTGAGTCCTTTCATGTTGGCTTCTGTTATACCCTCTTAGTTTTCCCTGCCCAGGTGCTTCTGCTTGGTCTCAGCTACCTTCTCTCTCTTTCCTCTGCTCACATCCTTGGTGAAACCTGTGGTTTCAGCCACTACCACCTTATATTGGTGACTTTCAGATCTCATTTGTAGCCATCTACTTGACAGTTACTGAGCTTTATACCTGTATTTTCAGCGCTTTGCAGTATAGCACCATCTGGATGCTCAAATTTTGTGTGTCCAAAATGGAATTCAGCATACACTGTCCATCCCACCTCTGTAAACTATTTCTTATTTTGATATGGCTCCAGTGATTCAAGCTTTTGCTTTGCTACTTTCTTTTCTTGTTGCACAACATTAGTATTTCCTGGGTGCTTTTTAGAAATAGAGAATTTTAGTCTTCACTCTAGACCTGAATCAGATTTTCAAAATCCCAGGGGACTGGTATGCACATTTCTGTTCAGGATACACTGCTCTAGAATTTTTATTTTAACTGATGATATACAGTGAAATTTTTACCACTACTAATCCCAACAAAGCCTTGGCGAGGTAATATTTTGTCCCAAATCTTAGTGAAGTTGCTATTTTTAAATGCTGGTGTTCTTCCCCCTGTAGTAATCCCTTTTAATGTTGTTTTTCTTAGGCAGAAGATAAAGAGGAAGAAGATGTATCTGGTGAACCTGAAGCTTCACCAAGTGCAGATACAACTATTCTATTTGTGAAAGGAGAAGGTAATAAATACTAGTTTTAACTCGGGTGTTTTTAGAATGACAAGGTCGCTTTTTTGGGAAGCGTTAGTAATGTGTAAGATTCATTTTCTTACAAATGTAGTGTAAACATGCATTTTTAAAAAAACCCTCTAGTATATGTGTGTGAATACTCATGTCTTTATGGTACTATTTCTGGTATTTAAGGGGGAAAAGAATTACGACCCATTTTTACTGGGAATTATGTGTTCCTTTGAAAGAGTTTTTAAACTCTTCCATAGTAAAGTAACTTATATTTTGGGCAGAAACATTAGTGAAATATCAAATCTTTACAATTAGGCCTTGGTTGGAGCCTAGATTTAATTAAAATAAAGAAAATAATGGCTTATATTTAATGAGGGCTATGGCAGACACTGTTTTCAATACTTTGCATGTGTTATTTATTAATCCTTACAGAAATCCTGTGAGGTTATTTACTATTACTAAACAGATTTAGAGAGGTTAACAACATATCTAGTGTTAACCAGTGAGATCTGGTCTGAAATTAAGATATCTGGTGTAGCTCTTAAATTGAAATGCTGGAGTATAGAAAGGGTTTCAGTTTATATACTAGTTACTAGTTAGTGGATGACTGGCATGCTCTATTGAAAGGGATTTGGTAACCAAGTCTGCATGTATCAGGAAAAGGTGCCAAAATCCATTAATAATGTCTTACTTTTTATTTTATACCCTTTGAACATTTTCTAATCTTTATCTTTTTTTTTTCCCCTTAGATTTTCCAGCAAATAATATTGTGAAATTTCTGGTAGGCTTTACAAACAAAGGTACAGAAGATTTTATTGTTGAATCCCTAGATGCCTCATTCCGTTATCCTCAGGACTACCAGTTTTATATCCAGAATTTCACAGCTCTTCCTCTGAACACCGTAGTGCCACCCCAGAGACAGGCAACTTTTGAGTACTCCTTCATTCCTGCAGAGCCCATGGGCGGACGACCCTTTGGTCTAGTCATCAATTTGAACTACAAAGATCTGAATGTAAGACCCTCTAAACTTTTTTTTTTTTTAGTTAGAGATGGGTGCAGACAATTGACATTTGAATATTCTTGTGTTTACTCATTCAAGTGCCTATTTTGTGGTTAGAACTCCATGGAGGCAAAGATAAATTACATGTCTCTGTCTTCAAGTCTATAATCCACTGGAGGAGATGGATGGAAGCAGGTACTATCACAGCAGGATAAGTGATACATTGTAGAGATAAGTGGAAGGTGCTAGAGTATTAAAGTGGAAGTGAGTTGAGCTGGATCTTAAAAGGAAAACAAGCTACACAGGGAGTCTACTATTTTTAATATAATTTTAGCAGAAAGGTTTGTGGTTTATGAGATCCAAATAGCTTAATATAAGCTTTGTTTTCTTATGATTTTAAGTATGTTATGGTATATATCCAATGAATGAATAAGAAGGCCACCACAATATACTGCTGGGAGTTGACCTCTTATGTCCACTTGTTAGATAAACATTCCCTTTTCAGAGAAGGAAATTGTATCCTTTTTGGAAGCTTATTCAACCTTTTGTCATTGTAGTACCAACATGTTTGCCTTATGTGTCTTAATTAAATTTCTTGTGCTGCAATTAAATTTTCTGTTTTTGAATTACGTAGTAGAGAGTACAAAGGGTTTTTTTATCTTTCCTTCAAAATAATGTATTAAGCTTTCTCAACTTCATAGTTAAGTGACTTGAAGAATTCTATATTTCCTCTTGTTTTCAAACATAAAACTTAATCCATCAGGCATATATATAGTTTCAGTCCCGTTTTAAATAGTTTCATCAGTGTATTCTGATTCTTGGAATTATAAACAGAAGAATGCCAATTGTAAGATCTTGAAGTATAATTTATGTAATTACAGTTTAGCAATAAATAACACTTTTTAAGTACTACTTTTGTGCAAAGCATCAAACACTGAAAACAGCTAATCTATGTGTTGTTCCAGTGATTCTGATGTATTTGAAAACTGAAATTGTGTTGAACTGACAAGATTGTTTCAAGATCACAACAAAAATATTTTGGTAGTGAAAAATCACTAACTCATTTATTATAAAGAAATTTATTTCCAGTCCGTTATTAATTTAGAACATGAATTTGACTTGTTCAAGTTTAGTTCTTAAAATGATCTGCTATTGTACATGTTAATGCTCTTTCTTAGTTTTGGATGTTTACACACAAAAGAACCTAGGGCTTCTAGTTTTAAGAGTGTTTTTTGAGCTTTGTTTCTTTCTGCACGTTTTATCTTGTTTTTATTTTACTTCCCTGGTTCTTCAATTTCCTCCCCACCCCCAAAAGAAAGTGGGGGGTAACTTTGGCAAAGTTGGAGGCATTTTTTATTTCATAGGAGAAAGTAGCACATCATAATGTTGAATCCCTGACACTGAATTAGTGCCATTAGTTATGACTTTGATTCTTCTAAGCGATAAGAAAGCTGTAGTATAATATCTCTTGGGGTAATGGTTGTAAGAATTCTTGAAGGGTTTCATTTTTCCAATGTGTTTCAGTTTGGCGGTATTTTTTTTTTTTAAACAGGGCAATGTATTTCAAGATGCTGTCTTCAATCAAACAGTTACAATTATTGAAAGAGAAGATGGGTTGGATGGAGAAACGTAAGTAGATGTTGAAATATGTAGATCTTGATCTTGTTAGGTAGGACTTGAAGGCTTCTTCCTGTCAACCTATTTTTATTAATAGTAATGATGAAAATGGAATTGGCTATAAATTTGGTAAAGTCCTATGTAAATTAGTACTTTAGATGATTCTTATAACTATTTATACCTAGTTAGAAAAGATAATTGAAACGACAAAAATTTGTTTTAAAAAGGTAGCTTCGACTTTCCATTCTTTTCCTCTTCTACTGTAAGTTTCATGCCTCTAAAATTACTAGTAAATTATAAGATTTTATCTTGAAAAATGTGTTCCTTGTAAATACTGAATTATTTTTTCATCATTTGAAATGATGAAGTACTGTATACTTAGATGGAATTCACCAAAAGTAATTTTTAAATCAAACTGCAAAATGATCTAATATTTGAGGGAGACAAAATCTAATTCTATTGTAATTTTACTAATTTTGGGTCATATAATTCTTAGAAGTAAAGTAAAAAAAAATTCTAAGACTTATTACCTGAGCCTAAATTGAATTTAAAATATTTTATTCCTTTTACCAACAAGTTATTTGGAGAGTTTATATAGTGTTAGCATCATACAGAGTGGGGCAAAGTAAGTTTAGTTGTTCATATGTAAAATACTACAATGATTAATAAATAATACAAGAATAAACTGTTTCATCTACTCACAACTATAAACCTACTTTTGCCACACCTTGTAGATGTAATTAGCTATGATGTTTTTTATAAGTTAAAACAGAATTATAGTTTTAATTAGCTGTGATAATTCCTATGAATTAAGCCAGTTTGTATTTTCTCCTTTTATATTAGAATCTTTATGTATATGTTCCTTGCTGGTCTTGGGCTCTTGGTTGTTGTTGGTCTTCATCAACTCCTGGAATCTAGAAAGGTAATTATAGGTGAACGACTCTTACAGCCATACTTCAGAAGTTGTTACAGTATTAAATGAAGTTCAGTCCAGTTATTTGTGGCTTCTTGCTTTCAGTGTGAGTTTGTATATTTACAAGTTTGTTGTCACTTTTAAAATAAAATCTGAAGGTAAAATCTTAGATATGTGACTTGGATTTGTTTAGACTTTTCTACACATGTGCAGTTAGTGTCCTTAGTTTATACCCTGCAGAGTGACATTTATTTTCTTATTGTTATTGTAACTCCAAATTATACTGCAATTCTTATTTTGTAAATCCTCACCTGAGGATATTTTTCCATTTATCTTCAGATTGGGGGGGGGGGGGGGCATTGACGTGAGAGAGACACATCGAGTGGTTGCCTCTTGCATGACCCCAACCAGGGCTGGGAACTGAACTGCAACTAAGGTACTACAATTCTACTTTTTTTTTTTTTTTCTTTATTGCTTTCTAATGGGAGGAGAGAGAGAGAGAAACATTGATGAGAGAGAACATCGATTGGCCGCCTCCTGCATGCCACTGGGGATTTGGCTCACAACCTAGGTATTTGTCTTGGCCGGGAATGGAACCGGCGACCTCTTGGTGCATGGGTTGACACTCAACCACTGAACCACACTGGCTGGGCATACAATTCTTATTTCTTAAACTCAGACATAAGATTCCATTTTTCTGTTCATGGATATGTTATTTTATCTGTAAGCACTGAAGCTTATACATTTGCTTTAATATATAACCGTAGGGATAATTCCTAGTTAGCAATTAAATGAGTCTTTTCATTTGAAAAAGAATGAATTGGGCTGTATTTGTTCTGACTTCTGTTTTCTTGTTAGTGTCATCGAGTGGCGACACTGAAGCACTACTGTAGTCATGGTTTCTCTCTTTGGACTTGATAGCTAATTCCACCACTGTCCTCATCTCCCTCTGCTCCCTGACCCACAAAACAACTTAAACAACTCATATTATTCCTCTCATGAGAAAATATAACATGATTTGTGTCAAATTTATTACTAGACACTTATATTAAAATTAGCAGTAAGTGTTGCTAGTAAGCATTTGCTCTTTGAAAGAGAAATACTTAGTGCTTAAATGTTCATTTCTATAACTTTCTTTGCCTCATTTTCATCATAGCATTTTTGCTATAAATTTGTGTATTAGGTATAATGGCATCTGTATTTTTTCCCCCCATTTGAATGAAACCATTATTTTAATTGGCTGTGGTTACCTTTTTGTATATTCAGAATTTAATTTTTGAACTGTATGTTTAATACTCTTTTAGGTAAATAATTAGGGTTCTTTTTTGGTTGTTTGTTTGTTTGTTTTTTGGGGGTACGTGCCCCTAGCAGGAACCAAACCTGGGACTCTCTGGTCCTCAGGCCGACGCTCCAATTGCTCAACCAAACTGGCCAGGGCTTGTTTTGTTATTTTAAAAGCAGGGCTAAAGAATAGAATTCTTTTCTTTCTTTCTAGCAGTTTTGCTGCAAAATTTCAGGGACAAAGTTTTTGATTGTTAGCTTAAATGATATTTTATGCCAACTGTTAAAGTGTATTTATCTAACAATGCAGGAGTCTGCCTGCATGCAACCTTTCAATAATTTATTCTGAATTTTGTTGAATTTAGAAATAAGTTAGTTTTTAACATTTGATACTCAAAGGGAAAGAAAATAATCGTATAAGTCTTAATAACATATGAAGCTTTATAGTAGAGGAAAATATCTTTAAAGCCTGAAAAGAAATCATTGGTTGAAGATTTATTCCTTATTATTTATTTTTTATCATTGTTGTTAATCATGATTACCCCCCCCCTGATTAATAAAAACTTGGAATTAGGAGTATGTTTTAAAACTAGAAGAGAACATATTTGTCTGTTAAGATATTTAAGTAGTTTGATAGGTCTCTTTTTAAAATTACGGGTAAACAATATAATGAAACTCCTTTAAAGTATTGTTTTTATGTTCTCTTAGCGCAAGAGACCCATACAGAAAGTTGAGATGGGTACATCAAGTCAGAATGATGTTGACATGAGTTGGATTCCTCAGGAAACTTTGAATCAGATCAGTAAGTACTCTTACTGACTTGGCTGGGAACTTTTTCTCTGAAATGGAAATTAAATATTTTAGATTTAGCAAAAGTGCTTGGTCAGTGCTATTTAACACTCATCTTTTTCATTACTTGTATAATATGTTTAATTGGTGCTTTAAAATTTATTTTGTGTAGTTTTTATTTTAGAAATGCTTCCAAATCTGCAGTTTATATTACAAATGTGTAAATTCTCTTTATTTCTAATCTTTTCCCTGTCTCTTTTCTTTCCTGTTGCTTCAGTGCAAAGTAGAAGAGGTGAGGCAATTAACTTTTTAATGTGTTGGGGGTTCTACTTTACATTAAACCTAATGAGTAATGAAACAATATTTTTAGCACTAAATTTGTTGGAATAACTGCTAACTACCCAGAACAGTTTGAAAGAATAAACCTAAAATACTGCATGTTAGTTTTCCTTACAGGTACATTTCAGTTTTATTACATATGCAATTAGTTAGAATATTAATTTTTATAAAAGAGTGTAGAATTTTTTTTCTCCGATTGGAAATGAACATTGTAAAAAATAAATTGTACAGAAGTGAAAAGCTGATTATCACCTCTTGGATCCACTGATCCCATTTTCCATAAGTAATTGGTACTTATGTGTTATTCTAAGTATTTTCTATATATTTATCAGCATATATGTCTGTTGTTTTTGTGTTTTGCACAAATGGCATTACCCTGCACTAACTGTTATAATCTGAGTTTTCATGCGTTTTGGATATTTTTTTGAGGTAGTTGCTTATATAAAAAAAGTAAACAGTTAGGTCTAAAATTATGTGCATTTTAATTTTCTTTTTTTTAAATCCTCACCCAAGGATATTTTTCTATTTATCTTCAGATAGAGTGAGAGGGAGGGGGAGAGAGAAACATTGACATGAGAGAGACCCACTGAGTGGTTGCCTCTTGTATGACCCCAACCAGGGCCCGGGACGACCCGCAACCGAGGTTGTGCCCTTGACTGGAATCAAACCCACAACTCGTTGGTCCATGGGCCGATGCTCTCACCGCTGAGCTTAAATGGACAGGGCTATGCATTTTAATTTGTAGCCATCAGGTACTTTAAAACAGAAATAACAAATTTATGTCTTAAAAGAAATCGATAGTTTTGGGGAGGATGGCTAGCAAGTGGAAGCTACTGGAAGATGATTTTTCTTTTTTAAAAAAAAAGTAAGACATCAGTAGGGCCTAAGCTAAGGCAGTAATAAAAATGAGTAGAAAGATATTTCAGAAATGTAGCAGGCCTGGCTTTTGGTGACTGGATATCTTGGAGGAGCAGAAGTGAAAGAGTACTCTGAGCTTAGGCAGCTGGGTGGAAGACGATCCTGTTCATGTTAGGGAATGTAGGAGTAGGAGAGTGTATGCATGAGGAGAAAGGGGTTGAGACAAGATACAGGTAATTTAGGGAAAATTGCCATTTCTTTTAAAGATAGTACGTGTACTTTGCATATTTGATGATAGAATGGAGAAAACCAAAAGAAATTTGGAAGATCATGGAGCAGGAGGCAGGCCAGGAAGGTACCTCCAGCTTTGAGGAATTACTCTGGAGAGGGGTGGTATGGAGAGTAGCATATATAAGGGGCCAGTATTTAACTTGGCAGGAGCTTTTACTCATATCTTTCCTACTCATCAGAATATAAACAAAGGAAGGGTGATTTGGAACAATTTTAATCCATTGCTGGTACTTTTTTTCCTGATTTGTTTAAGTTTCACTAAAATTTTACCTTTGTCATCTAAAAATGAAGAGTTGCAGTGAGTTATGATTTTATTACAGTTAATTAATTTCAAAGGTTATACTCAGCATATTGTTTATTTTTAAAATTATTTGGAAGTTGGTCAGCTATGTAAAGTCAGTAGTTCTTAGTGTAATCTTTTTGAAAATCTGATGAAAGTTGTAAGCTATATTCATCAGAAAAAATGCTTCTATGCTTAGTTTTAGGCAAGTCGAACCTCCTGAACACAACATTACTAACTTATGCAAGAAAGGTCAGTTTTCCTGTGGTTTATAGACTTAGGCTTAAGATTTCTGAGTCATTAACTCTTAAGCAGATTTTTAAAAAGAATTTTCTGTTTCTTAATGTGCTTGATAAAAACCTATTATGTATTTTTAAAATATAGGCATGGTCTAGTAATTTTGGAAAATAAATATTAAGATCTTTCAGGCATATTATATTTTTCATACCATTGTTCATGAAATGCTTACAAATGAACCCCATACTTTAGTGAGAACATCTTTTTCCAGCCCTTCGCTTTTTTTATTTTAATTTTATTTATTTTTTAATCCTCACCTGAGGATATTTTTACATTGGGGGGAGAGAGAGAGAGAGAGAGAGAGAAACATCAATGTGAGAGAAACACATCAATTGATTGCCACCTGCACAACCCAACTGGGGCCAGAGACTAACTGCAACTGAGGTATGTGCCCTTGGCTGGAATTGAACCCATGACTCTTTGGTCCGCAGGGTGACACTCTAACCGCTGAGCCAAAACAGCCAGGGCCCTTTACTTTTTTTTAAACTGGAAAAGAAAAATTACTTATTCCACAAAGAGAGTTTTATCTTCCTAATTTGAAAAGTGCTCCTACAAAATAAGAAGACACTGGTCAGAAGACAACTCTTTCTTTTTAATAGAGACTTAAAGATGATTTCTCTTAGTGAATGGAAGTGGGAGAAGCTCACCACCAATTTATTTTTGGTTTGATAGTTCCCACTAAGACTCTACTCTAACAAAAGAGATAAAAAGAAAAAAGTAAAAGCATAATGTTTATGTGTGTGGGATGGTCTTAGTAGTGATATACTAATTTCCTTTACCCTACTGCTTATCCCAAGTAATTTTATGAAATTGCCAATATTATGCAAACTGCATGGCTGCATTTGTAAATATTGTCTTTAATTTTGTAACCATTATAGATATTTTTGAGCTGCAAATTTCATACCTTTCCCACTATTTCCCAAGTGTTTACTTATGCATGCATAATCATGTTAAATTATAGAATTCAAGAAGATTTTGCATGGTAGTTTCAACATTACAATAACCAAGATTAGATCTTTTCCCACCCTAATTGCAAAAGATTTCGTTTTAATTGAGTTACCTCTTGAAGGATTATTTTAAAGGCTAGTTAAAACACCTAAACTAAATAAGAGGCATTTATTATTAGATGGTGTTTTCTTGCATGTGAGTTTGTTTTTTTAACTTAATTGTAAAGTTAAAGGGAAATGTCTTTTGAACCTGACATGTCTATAGTAGGCCAGTTAAAACTTTCTCTTTTCTTTCAGATAAAGCTTCACCAAGAAGGTTGCCCAGGAAGAGGGCACAGAAGAGATCAGTGGGATCTGATGAGTAAATGTTCCTTTGTGCAACAATTCAGTCTTTACTTAACCTGCCCTAATATTTTTCGGCCTGATGGGAATTAGTGCAGAGAAGCCATATCACCATAGAAGGCAACTACTACTTATGTGTGGACTGAGCAATCAGAGTCTGTGGCGATAATATTGTTGAAAGTGCACTGCATTTATTTTTCTAAAGTAACAAATTTGTTTTGTTTTTTTTTTAACCATTAAAATCTATGTGTGCGTGTGTATGTATGTGAGCAGTCGGTCTTACCAGAATCATCGTTGAACTACCTGAAGCATGCCTTTAGAATACTGCATATAATGTTATTGCCTCTTTCTTATTGACATATTCTGATATTTTCTCCTCCAAGTCAGTATTTGCCCAATATGATTATGGATGTCCTGCCTTGGACTACTTTAAAGAAAAAAACAATTTGCTTCTTCCTTAGAATCCCAATTGATGACACAAATTAGCATTTGGTGGTTATTGTTGCTGTTTGAGAACTAGTATTCTAAAGGCACAAGCAGGAGCAGCTGCTTTTAGCAATAGTTGTTTTGGTATTTTGCTGCTGTTTACTATAATATGCACCTTCAGAACACTTCCCAAATGAGTTCAAGGGATTTGGGGATCTCTAGCCACAAAATTGTGAAACATGAAAATTCTTGATTTTGATATATAAAATCCACCTCACTCTCTTTTTAATCAAAAAGAAAATGGTGTGTTTGTGGAAACTGAGTTGTTGTGTTGTCCATTGTTGTTCTATTTCTTACCCAAGGGATAGCTTTGGGATTTTAGACATACTTAGTTATTTTTTTTAAGAGGTCATTTGTCTCTCCTTAGTAGAAGCATTTTGCTTAAGAAAAGTTGCCTTGGCTACAGACTAAAGCAAAAGGTCAGTTTGTTAGGGCAGAGATATATTCCAACTAATTCCAATCTGTTAAAAAAAAGTTAGTTGGGTATTTTTTAAATGGTTAACCAATTGTTTTTTAGCTAATCTTTTGGGGATTTGGGTTGTTGATAATAACCTTTTCTTAGTTAATCTGAAGAATTTCAAAATTTTAAATACTCATTATTTAAAAACCAGCATTAAATTGGACTTCATAAAATTCTCTTAGAGAGTTACTCTTATCCTAGGTAGTAAATTAAGTTTGGCATTATTGTCAGACTAGATAAAGGCTAAAGTATATTAGTATGAAGAAATAAGAGGATTTCCCCCTCTTTCTTTAAGCCATATTTTTCTGTGTATATTTTGTAAGGAAATGGTACGTGAAATTTTAGTGGCTGTTTAATTCCTGTTTGTCTTCATTACAATCTCCACCTGCACCTATGCCCACCCAAAAACAACAAAACAAAACACAAAAAAATCTTTCCAAGTTGCTTGAGTATTTAAACATCTGAGCCAAAGTCAATGACAATAACATAGAAGTAATTGTATAGTTTATTAATCACCTTGCAAGTAGGGGTGAAGGTGTCAAATTATCCGTGTTGGCATTGCTAAACTATAGATTTTCTATACCTGTAATGTAAAGTGTCTGAGTTTTTAATTGGGCTGTATAATCAGTAGTTTATTTGGAAACAGGTCTTTGAGCTCTAAGAAACCACATGGATTTTTTGTTTAATGTAATAAGGAGACCCTCCACCTTCTCAAGGAATGATTCCCAAATATTTTTGTGAATGTTCAAGTTTGTAAAACTACTAGAACATAATGCAGTGAGGTCTAATTACAAAATTTAAATGACCTCTAGAGAATTTTATCAAATACCTGGTAACACAGAGGAAATGGCAAAGCCACACTGATTGACAGGTGCCAGCCCTTCTGACTCCTAAGTAATTTGCCTTACATACCAGCCCCTCCACTTCTGAGGTTCAAGATGGGGCCTCAGAAATTATTTGTCATGTTTTATTTTTTTAGCATAGATTGAGAACACTTGAAAACTCAGATGCCAGGGGTCTTCTGTAGTATCAGTAAGCGTTTAGCAGGAACTAATTCTGTAATAAATGGAATTCAATTCCACACATGGTTTGTTCAAGCACACTTAATAAGTAGCCTATTTTTTAAATGTAAATATTTGGATTGAAGTTTTTGTTTGTTTTGATATATTCATTTGCTACATCAACCATGGTTTGAGAATTTACCTTTTGAACAACTTGGTTTCAGAATCTGTAAAATGAACTAAGAATCTTGTGTATCAATTCAGATGTGTGAGAATATGTGTTTATAAAGAGTGGATCTTTATAAAGATCTTTGATTGTATAGCTTCATCATTCATTTCATGGATTTCAATAGTAAGTGACTTGTAAAACTATTCCTACCCTCTGAGATGTTGGAGGGGAGAAGGGAGATGGGACTTCCAAGGTCTAAACCTGAGGAAAACCAATCAGAAGGAAAGGAGCCTTGACTTGATTTTAGTGATGTTTTTAATTTTAAATAAGCTTCAGATAATAGTGACTTTGATAGGAAAAGACAAATTTAGATCTTATATATTAAAAAACCACCACCTTAAAGGTGTATTTGCAATGCATCACCCTGGTATTGTATGTTGGCCGTGTTTGGGAGAAGTAAGTGGTGGTGATGTGGTGTCATAACTTATTTAATGTCGAGTTACTTTGGAGCTACAGCAGTAGATAGTTGTAATGTGATATGCAAGGCTCTTTACCTAACATTCATTTTCTGTGGTACAATGATATCCATACCCTTGGTATGAAGGAAAATTTGCTTGTTTAGTGTATTTAAATAATGTGATTTTTTTTTTTTTTTACCATGAACTTGGCAATACACATCATCTCTTACTGAGATTTTGCTACATCTGAGGTCTTTATTTTAGTTTCAAAATTAGATGTTAGTTTAAATTTTTAAACACTTCCTGATGCACTTGAAATACTTTACCACAGTTTGGGACAGCATCATTTATAGCTGTAAAATTAATTTGTTCTTATTAAATAATATCCTACTTTTAAAATATGTTTTTATTGATTTTTAGAGAAAGAGAGAATGGAGAAGAGGGGTGGAGGAGAGAGAGGCTGGATGCCTCCTACATGCCCCCCACTGGGGATCAAGCCTGGAACCCGGCCATGTACCTTGACCAGGAATCAAACCGGTGACCTCTCAGAGCACAGGGCTGTGCTCAACCAAGTGAGCCACACTGGCCAGGGTGATACTGTCCTACTTGGAACTGTACCCCCAGCTTAGTAAAGAGCAAGCTGACCAGGACCCTTCTTACAAGTATAAGTGAAAGGTTAGGTTTTGTCGTTAAGCTTATCTGTTTAGCACATCATTAGAGGACATTAGGAGGGACAAACTTAAAAACTGATTTGCAAAGATTAAATAATAGTGTGTGTTTTTAGGACTCTTATGTATTTTACTAATTAGTATTTCCATTTTGTCCTTTTTTCATTTACACACAAATGTAGACTTTTATAGTAACTATATAACCTGAATCTCTGGAACTTTTTAGGGGGTGGGATTTAGGGATTGTTGAGTAATATGGTGCTAAGGTTTGGGTACCGTTTAGCTGCCCTTTTTAAGGCAGTAGGAAAGGAACTCATTTATTAAATAAACATTGGCCATGTACTGTTTTCTGTTGGGACTTTCATTCATCTCATGAACTTTCACAACAATTCACTGAAGGAAGCTGACTGTTCTCATTATAGGTGGAAAAACCAAAACCTCCTGAGTTTAACTAGCTGCTCAAGGTTACACATTGAATGTGGATTCAGAGCTGTCTTACTCTAAGACTCACACGGTCTTTTCCCTGCACTGTGTTTAGGATGGAAATTTAAAAGGGGGGGAGGGTATAAAAACCAAGCATTTGGGCAGCTTACAAATACTTGGTTTTCCAGAATCCAGCAGTCAAAAAGTTCAGATAACCCCATTATAGAATATACTATATGTACACACTTTCTGTACTATACAGTAGGACATTAAGTGCCACTGAGCTCCAGAAATCAAACCCCAGGGTCTTCGGAGCTGTTATAAATTGATTTGTGTGTTAATGTTTGTAGTATGTATATGTAATTTTTGGAAATTTGATACTGTGTTTTTATATGATAATTCAGTTATCCACAATTCTCTCTGTAGTCTCTAACCGTGTCCCTTTGAGTAACAAAATCTTGGACTTTATTTTATTTTTTTATTTTTTTATCCTCACCCGAGGACATTTTTCCAATTTTTGTACAGATAGAGTGGGAGGGAGAGAGAGAGAGAAACATCGACGTGAAAGGGACACATCGAGTGGCTGCCACCCGCACGACCAACCAGGGCCGGGGACAAACTGCAACCGAAGTACGTGCCCTTAGCAGGAACCGAACCCAGGTCTCTCCGGACCGCAGGCCGACGCTCTAACCGCTGAGCCAAACCGGCCAGGGCAAAATCTTGGACTTTAAAAACATTTTCTTCAAAACAGATTTCCTAGTTTGATTGTATTTTCAAGTTGTAAAGGGTTGAAAGATTCATCCTCATGTTAGAGATGAGAGAGAAGTATGTTTTTTGGTTTGTACAACCAGCTAATGATAGAACTGGGATTACAGGTTAAGTTCATAAATCACAGCCAAAGATGATTTGACTAGGCTTTTCCTATTTCCCTGCTGTTCCTTACATAGATTCCTGTAGTGGGGCCTGTGACAGTCTGTCATCTCGTTGACATGTCTATCTCTTTCTGCTGGGCTGTGAGCTTATATTTTGCTTGCTTTTTAATCCCAGCTTCTAGTTCACAGTTTTAAGGTGGAAAGCTATCATAGGTGTTCAAAGAAAGAACAAGAAAATGTGGGCCAATTTTCATATGCTATTCTTCCATGGCATCGTGTTCAGAAGTATTCCTGGTGATAACCCAACCTCACTGCAAGTTCTGCACGGTTGCACAAAGAGGTGATAGGTATGCTAGCTTGGAGATTAGGACGTAGTCAGCCCTGGCCTCTAACCGTGATCCTCAGAAGGCACTTTATCTCTGGAGTGTTGGTGTGCTTTTTAAACTGAGAGCTACATGAAGTGTAAGTTCCAGATTGTCTGATTCTGTCTCCTACATACCCTAACCTAATACATTATCGTTTAGTGATTCTTCCTTAAAACTAGTTTACTCAGGAAAACACACACACAAATAAAACTAAGTATGGAATGGACTCATGTCAGACTGCCTGGATTCAAAATCCCAGCTCCCTCCTCTTAGTTGGAAGAGAATACCTCTCTGGGCTTCAGTTTTGGATTCTTAAAACATTGTCCAGCCCTGGCCAGTTTGGGTCAGCAGTTAGAGCATTGGCCCGCAGACCAGTGAGTCGGGTTTGATTCTGGTCAAGGGCATGTACCTCGGTTGTGGTTTGATCCCCAGCCCTGGTTGGGGTCCTGTGGGAGGCAACCAGTCCATGTCTCTCTCTCACATCGATGTTTCTCTTCCTCCCTTCCTCCCTCCCACTCTGTCTGAAGATGAATGGAAAAATGTCCTTGGGTGAGTATTAAAAAAAAAAATGTCTAGCCCTAGAGGGTTTGGCTCAGTGGTTAGAGCGTCGGCCTGTGGTTCGGAGAGACCCGGGTTCGGTTCCTGCTAAGGGCATGTACCTCGGTTGCAGTTTGCCCCTGGCCCTGGTTGGGTTGTGCGGCTGGCAGCCACTGATGTGTCCCTTCACATCGATGTTTCTCTCTTCCTCTGTTTCCCTCCTACTCTATCTGAACAAAAAATGGAAAAATGTCCTCAGGTGAGGGTAAAAAAAAAACTCCAGTCCATGGGAAACCATATGAGTAACGGCTGCTGCTGTTGTAGGCAACAGGTATTGTCATGAGGAGGGGACACATGAAGCACATGAGGGGAAGGGCATATGGTACTTTTTGGGGTTTTTTTTACTTTTTTTTGTTGTTGTTTGTTTTATATCCTCACCGGAGGACATTTTTCCATTTTTTGTTCAAATAGAGTGGGAGGGAGAGAGAGAGAGAAACATCGACATGAAAGGGACACATCGAGTGGCTGCCACCCACACGACCCAACCAGGGCCAGGGACAAACTGCAACCGAGGTACGTGCCCTTAGCGGGAACCGAACCCGGGTCTCTCCGGACCGCAGGCCAACGCTCCAACTGCTGAGCCAAACTGGCCAGGGCACATATGGTACTTTTTGGACTTCCATGTGGAGTGATAGTTAAATTCTGCATAGAACAGTTACTCTTTTTTTTTTTTTTTTTTTAACTACAGAGTAAAATTATTGGGATGTACATGAAATGTGGCTAGTTCTGTGGATTTAATGATGAACCCGAGTAATATGGCTGCCAAAGAGAGTTTTTGTTGTTGAAATAAATGTTAGAATCTGCACATCCAATTGAGATTTACCATTTTCAGAACACTTGGAGAGGCTACATATTCTCCAGTGTTTCCATTTTTAGAACTTAAAAATTTCTTTCAGCTTCAGATGATAAGCCACCCAATAAAAAAAGGTTACTATTTTACAGAAATCCGTTTGGTCACCCATCTATTCATGTTGTCAAAATAGATGTACAGGCTCTAAGGGCATTTTATAAAACTGAAATGTTTCAGTCAGGATAGTGTTCAGATTGAGCAGATGTATACCAGGCCTCTACTCTGCCCTTCCACACGGTTCTCATCCAGTCCTCACAGCCTCTGCTCTGCACATCCACAAGAAACCCGGGCATGGGTGTTTACAGCAGCTTAGTTCAAAATTGCCAGGACCTGGAAGCAACCAAGATGTCCCAGGAGGCAAATACATCATTCTCATTCAGTCCTCACAACTACCCTAGGCAACCCATTGTCTGCTATCATACAGCCTTCAGGAAACCGGTGGCACCCACACTGCGGGTTTGGTCCATTGCTGCCTCGGCCTTTGTTGGGAAAAGGTATATGAACACTTCATCAGGGAGCACATTCACATTAATGCACAAAGTATACTTACCTGGTTCTGGTTGCATCATTTGGTATTTGCTAATTTTCTCTGAGGTAGATACCGCTCTGTCACCAAAGTCAAGCTACATTTATAAGTACTTTTTGACAGTGGCTGTCTTGAAAGGATTACTTGCCATCATCCTCAGTAGATTTAAAGCAGTGGGCCTCAGTACATGTAAGAGTAGGACTTCTCTCCCCTTGAATTGTCCTGTTTTTTTTTAAAATTAGTGTCACATATATTGCAAGGCCTTGCATTGAGTATCATTCTGTTCTTGTTACCATTTTATGGCTTAAAGTACTGTTTGGTATTTTTAAATTTGTCCCCCTAAGCTGATGGCACTGTGTCCACTAAGGGGGGAGTAAGATCTCGAGCAGGCT